CTTATGTATATATATATGTATATATATATATACATACATATATACATATATACATATATACATATATATATATATATATATATATATATATATATATGTATATAATGATGTTATAATCGCATAAAGCATTGCCCGTCAACAACAATTTTCTTGTTTCAGGCAACTCCTCCTCATTTACTCATTAACCGTTAACGAGTTTTTCATCAAACATCCATTATGTGCCTTAGAAGAATCAGTTGAACATATAAAAAAAAATTCTCTCAGCATCTGGCTTTAACAGATACATAACATAATAATACCGTTTATATATATTCTTTGAATGTGTGACCGTAAAATTTGATTTTTGATCAATCTAAGAATCTTCATAGTAAAACATTAAAATGTACGTTTACGTTAGTCTTAATGAAATTACAAATTTAATTCAATTAAAGTGTCTCTTCATTTCAATTAAATTATCTGTTCATTGTTTTAATCTAAATGTGAAAGGTTTTTTTCCACTGCTTATTGCAGACATTATATGTTGATGCTTGAAGACTCAAGGAGAAATAACAAATTTTATAGAGGACAACAACCTAATTTGTTTTCTTCTACATAATTTTCCTATAATGATCAAAGAATAAATTCAGTAATTAATACTTGTATAATAGACTTGTAATATTAGCAACAAAATTATCCAAATACCGACACTCAATAAAAACGTTATTACAGTTTTTCATAGAGTGAAGCATTTTCGTATTTGCTTTAGAAGTTGCACTTTTCAAACAAATGATTCTGCACAAAATAATTAGCAAAAATGTCATCTGTTAAGTTAGTCTCTATGGTATCGCTTAACCTACACTCTCCGTTTAACGGACTAAATGAGAATGAGATGCATCTGGTGTAACCCATACAATACAGTGAGCACGATCCAGACGATGTCACGTTATCATACTTCTTAGCCGTTCTGTCCAATTTGATACGCTTTTGAGAATTATATTTCTTGTAGTCGATCCCTCGGTTCGATGCTAAGAAGAAAAAGTATTCGTTAAATTTATCTTACTGAAAAACGATAAGAATCTGGTGGAGTTTTCTCGGATACTAACTATAAACCCTAGACCCGTAAAATTTGACTCATGTGCACTTTAAATAACCCGGTAAGCTATCTTTATTTGTGAAGGGTCCCCACTCGACTGTGATTAATTCAATAAGTTTAGTAAGATCTATGACAGCACTTAATGCATGCATATTTACCTGATTTCTGGCAAATGGACGTGACAGAATTGGCACAGTTTTTCCAATTCCACGTTGGTGATTCATCATTACCCATGGATACACAAGCCTCTGTATCGTTATTTTCTTCGTTGAAGTTACTAAATGCATTGCCCTCTCCATCTACCCAATCAATAGAAGAATTCTTCTTTTTCAGACCTATCCAAGTTGACGAAACATTCTCATGACGGATAATCTCGAAAATGAAGCTGTTCTCTTCTTGTGAGTCGATGGTAACAAGATGACTCGATTCTCCTTCTGCTTCACAATTTGTACGCGCTGACAGCCAATCAACTGTTTCATTGAGGATCATGTGACAGTTTCCGTTATGATAGTATCCTTCATATTCAATCGGCTGAGTATCTTAAAGATAACATAGATCAAAATATTAATTGATAGAAATAACAATTCTATGTTTAAATTGAAAATATAATTATATAGTAGGGATAGTGTTGCGGCCACACATGCCAGTCGCTTTGCAACAGTCACTTTAGATTATAGCGCATTTTATGTCTATACAGCAAATTTTGCTTAAGAAGCTTTGTTAACTGTCTAAACAGCAAGGTAGTATATTGAATTCACACTGGGTTTTTCATTGTTGTATTTAGTTTTTTGATGAAAAATAATGCGTTGTTTTGTAAACTTTTTTGGAACAATTGATGAGTAAAATACATGATTGATATCTAACGAAATTTTGATTAAATATTGGAACGGCAAACGTTGGATAGGAAAATATATCGATAATATAAGGTGTCAATCAATAGGAAAATGTAAAATAGTCCTAATGAATTTACCTGTAATTGCTTGCAAGTCAAGCTCATAAAACTGAAGAGAGCAGTCAAAACAATTCGCTTGGAACGATAAGTACTTTCCAATACACGCCATATTCAATGTGTATTCATCATTGATGTAACCAACTGTTACATTACCACACAATGTGTTGTCTTTGATGTTAACCGAACTTCCAACTCGTACTGAGACAGGTGCTATGAGCGATAAGTAAATGCAACATCATAATATATTATATACATATATATATTTATATATATATAAATATATATAAATATATATATAAATATGAAAAGATAGAAATTAGTTTAATGTAATGCTGAATGTTTGAATGTAGCAGAAGTTAATTAACCGATGTACGGTTGGAAATAATACGCTTATATGTGTAACATGTTTATTAGATAAAAACGAAGTTTAAATGTAGTTTAAATAGGCCTATTAGTCCTTTTTGTGTTTTGTTTCATCGTCTTCATGTGTTACTGACAAAAGATCAAATGTGTTCCTGGTTTGTGGGATACTGAAGTGTTTAATTGTAATACTGCAAGAAGAAATACTCGTACAAAGGCTTACGTTTCACCAAACATTCTCCTTCCGTGATCCTGACGTCATCTAAACCAATGTTACTTGTGCCACTGCTTCCTGCTATTCCTTCAAACACTGTGTGATAGGTACCACTTGTTGCAACTGAGATTTGTTCGAATATCCAATCGTGTTCTTCGTTGCTTGTTTCTGTCCAATCAAATGTACTGACATCATTGGTACTATCGACTACATACACATTTAACGTGTTCGCTGTGTCCCCGTACATGCGGTAAAACCACTCGATACACAAGCCATTTGTTGTGGAATATGACGGTGTCCGAAGGCGAGCGGCGTTAGTATGGTTCCTCGGCTTTGAAGTTTCAATGTACATGTAGTATCCAGCTGTAAGCAGAATTATAAATATACGCTTTAATTAAATATGTTTACCTTACCTCATCTTGTCAGTCGGAATGGACATTAAACTATTAGATGTCATTGAGTTTAATGGTGAAGGTATTAGGTCTACTTGTTAAGTTGAACTTCGTTGTTTCTGATTAAATCTTATAACACAACTAACGGCTATAAATTTAGGATATCGCATTTCTGCTACCTGATCTTATTTCGCTTGTGTCGTTATACGGGGAACGAGTTCCAGGTGTTGGTTCAAATGCTCGCGTCCAGTCAAAGTCGTCAGATTTGAGTTGTACGAAGTTACAAATACTTGTATCTTCGAAATCACATAGGATAAATGATGAAACATTGCTTGCAGCTGGAATTATGAAATAGCATAAGACAAACAAAGGTAATCGCATCGTTCAAAATGAGATCACGTGACATAGTTAAGACAAATAATTTGTCTCGGTTATTGTGAAAATGACGAAGGGAAATATACGTTCAGTATCGGAGATGAATAAATAATACATTACTTTCAAATCTCCTCCAAAAGGTATTTGTTTCACCTGTTTAATAGTTTACTTATCGGGCCAAAAGAATTATTTATGGAAAAATATAGCGTATTATTTTTGTATTTCATAGTAATGTATTGTAGTATGAAAATGATTTTTTTAAATAAATTTGTTATGCTTACTTTGGTCCGAAACACATGCTCCATCGGTGATCATGACGTCATCTAAACCAATCTCGCCTGTGAAATTTTCTCCTGCAATTCCTTCAAACACTACGTGATAGGTACCATTAAATACAACTGAGACCTGTCCAAATATCCAATCGCTTCCTTGGTTGTTTGTTTTTGTCCAAACAAGTGTACTAACATTATCGGTATTATCGACTACATACACATTTAATGTGTTCATTGTGGATCCGTTCATGTAGTAGAACCACTCGATGCACTGGCCATTTGTTGCAAGATATGACGGTGTCCGGAGGCGAGCGGCGTCCGTGTTGTTCCTTGGCATTGATTTTTCGATGTTCAAGTAGTATCCTGTAAAAACACAAAAGTACTGTATGTGCGATTCAGTTGAATATATTATGTTTTTCTCCAGTCAGGAGATTTTAAACATCTATTCTCTCAGTCAGTATGGAATACTGAGTTGGGTGAAGCTGTATTCTCCTTTTTTTGTTGTTTAACAATTACAGTATAATACGTAAATGATATTGCAATTTTGTTACCTGGTGCTAATTCGTGTGTGTGGTCAAACCAAGGCTCAGTGTTAGATGAAGGTGTTTTTTGTCCAAAAACTCTTGTCCAATGAAAATCACACGTAAACAACCTTGTCCAATGAAAATCACACGTTGAGTCTGGTACAAAGTTACAAATACCTGTATTTTCGAAGTCACACTGGACAAAGGATGAAATATCTCCCGAAGTTGGTACGGCAACTGAAAAAAAACCCTCACAATATAAGATGTATAACTTACCTCATTCAAGTTCATATTCATTTAGATTATCATGTAATTGCCTTTTAGCATTTAATTTAATTTAATTTAATTTAATTTAATTTAATTTAATTTAATTTAATTTAATTTAATTTAATTTAATTTAATTTAATTTAATTTAATTTAGGTGTATTGTATTATAAAACAAATGATAAATGGATTGAAATAAAATATAAGCTATCCATTTCAACTGATGAAACTATTCTTCTTATAGGTCTAAACATTCATTTATTTTCTATAAAGCCTTACAGTAGTCATTTGGGTAGCAGGTCATTTCGGCCCAAAACTAACTCGGCCCAAACAACTGGGCCAAAACTAATTCGGCCCCAAACAAACTCGGCCCCAAACAAACTCGGACCAAAACCAACTCGGCCCAGATGACAACTCGGACTAAAACCAACTCGGCCTAGACAACAACTTGGACCAAAACCAACTCGGCCCAGACGATTTTGGTCCGAGTTGGTTTTGGTCTGAAGTCGGCTTTGCCGAATTGGTGTGGACCGAGGTTTTGGGCCGAGGTGACCAACATTCCATAATACTCTGCCCCAGAACCAACTCATGGTATAATAATATAGTTATAGTAGACGGATATTTTAATCAATCGTCAAAAACTTAATTAACCAAATATAGATTTAAATATGATTTTTTTGTATGACTTGACCGACAACATAGACTTCCGTAATTCCAACTACAACCCACACTATAAAATTTTATTTGACGAAAATTGTATGTCCATAAATAATCTTGTTGTGCCTATATATGGTCATGGCCTGATGTCATCATGACCATATTAAGGCATGTCATATGATTTTTGTCAAATGAAATTTGGTAGTCTGGATAGGGCTTTGTAATCGAAACAATAATAAACTTACGGAAAGAAGAAACATTCATCCCAAAACTGATGTGAGTAATAAGAACAGATTCTGGAAATTGAAAAATTATTGCAGGGTCCACATCCTTTGCTAAAAAGAAATATTAGACTGGTATTAGTCCTATAATTGTAAAAAATACAACGATTACGTATATCTTTATCCGTTTTATGTTATAATTATGCTAAATAGGCCTATAATTCATATATTAAAATACGAAACTAAGACTTCATTACCTGATTCAGCGAACGTTTCCCAATCACCATCAATCGCAAGTTCTGGTGCATAATTTGCTGACACATTAACGTCAGTTATTTGTAATAAACCAATGGCTCCTAAATATACAAGAAATCATCAAATAATCAAAAATCAGGGGCTTCGGTAGCAATGGGAATACGACAATGGCCTACATTTTTAATTTGTCTACTTGCGACAATTTCTAATACAGTAGTAGACAATACTGCACACTCATAAAAGAAAATTGCAATCGAAATAGGCCTATCTATTTAATAATAAAATTACCATAATTATAACGATAATATACTTAATATATTTATTATGAATCAAGTACAGTAAGCACATATTTATTTGATATCGAGATTAGTTAAATCACAATTGCAGTATTTAGTGGCAGATTCAAGGCTGGGGTCCAGCTGCCCTCTCCCCCTAAATATTTCAAGATTTTAAAAAAATGAAAATTCTAGAGTCTAAGAGTGCTATTTCCAGCCATTTAGAGGTGCCATAATCATAAATTTCCTTATCTCAGTTCCAACCATGGTTGGGCTGAGGTAGTGTAGACAGTCCATTTGTGGAATTCCCTCTTTGGACCCTCTCTATTTCGAATTCCTGGATCCGCCATATATATTATTATGATAGGCTGTACTTACTTGTAGTGTTCAGAAAGAAATCTGCTAACAGAAGAAAAATACACCCGGTTGCCCAAGTCTTCATGGTAGATTGTATTTTTTGTCTGACGGCTGACAATATAAGTAAACTCCAAATGAAATGTCTGATCAATAAGAAAACTTGCTTCTTTCTAGGCCAGAGACCCGACAAAATTATGATGTTAATTTGATAGACACAACAAAATAGTATGATTCCGAATTCGTTTGTAGGAAAATAAGCCTTCTTTTGACTTTGAACAGAATGAACGCTATACGAAGTTACGTTTGTATTATTATATTGTCATCACATTATCTTTTGCCTGCATCGCCATAACTATTATACCAATATTTGTCCACACAGACGTTATATTATTTATAGTTGTGTATGCTGGCCTAAAATGACTGTAGTTGGCATTCGTTGTATAAATATAGGTCTATTTTCTTACCAGGAAAGAGAGCTTAGTGAGCTATAAAACATGTCAATGAATAATGTTATCATTAATCTTCGTTTCAATCATGCAAACGTAAATAATCATTAAATTTAATATATTTTAATCCATGTCTGCAAATATTTGGTAGCCCTAGGTCTACGTAGTTTCTATTAATTTTTAATGCATTTATAGTTAATTTGGATTTACTTTCATGGGTCTATAGTAATAAATATTAATCAAATCGAATAATTTTTCAAATATGGCCACACACACACACGTATATATATTATATAATATAATATATATAAAATAATATAATAATATGTAGTATAATATTATATAACATATATATAATAAATATATAAAATAATATAATAATATATTAGTATAATATTATATAACATATATATAATAAATATATAACATATATATATACTGTATATTTATTTATATATATATATCATATAAGATATATTTTTTATTTACCTATTCCTAGCAGTTTTCTTATCCTTTTTTAAAACCGTCAACAAACAACTATACTCTTTTTAAAAAATCAATATGTAGGCCTATGTGTGTATCTTTACTACGCCTATAAAGAATAATTTGTGTTGCATCATTAATCTTCGCTTCGATCATGCAAACGTAAATAATCATTGAATTTAATATATTTTAATCCATGTCTGCAAATATTTGGTAGCACTAGGTCTACGTAGTTTCTATTAATTTTTAATGCATTTATAGTTAATTTGGATTTACTAACATGGGTCTGTAGTAATAAATATTAAACAAATTGAATAATTATTCAAATATGGCCACAAAAACACATATATATATATATATTTTATATATATATATATATATATATATATATATATATGTTTTGTGTCCATTCAATTAACTTAGGTATTTGTAAAAATTTCGAAACTCCAATATATCAATATATTATTAACAATAAATTAATATACAGTATATATATATATATATATACATGTATATATACATTTATATACAATATAACATATATATACTGTATATATATATAAATATATATATATATATATATATATCATATAAGATATATTTTTTAATTGCCTATTCCTAGCAGTTCTCTTATCCACTTTTTTAAACCGCCAACAAACAACTACTCCTTTAAAAAAATCAATATGTTGGCCTATGTGTGTATCTTTACTACGCCTATAAAGAATAATTTGTGTTGCCGTTTTGGTAAAGAGAAGTAAAAAGATATTTCATACATCACAAGAGTGCCAACGACAAACATGGATTAACCTAAATATTGCAAGACGACTGTCAGATATTATGGTCAGAAAACCGCACAATAAGCATGACGATGCGTAAACGGATTGTAAACAAGGCAAAACAATAATATTAATTTGCATCGCAAAAATATTTGCACTATCTTGTTATAGTGAGAAGTAATCAATAAAATAAAATTGTTCTAATTGCGTGTGCCTGAGTCACTTAGTTAAATAGTAAGGATGTAGGCATTTGCCTATATTAGGAAGACCTGCATTTCATTTGATAGGCACTATGTTTTCATATGCAAATTTCATATCTGCATCTTCAGATTGTATTTTGATTATAATTAATATAAACAAGTTAAATAATAAGGAGTACTATAAGTAATATAGTACTCCTACATATTATTTGATTGAAGACTATGTTTTTTATCAATACATGATTTTTTAACCAGTGTGGACCCACTTTAAGCGGAATAATATAATAAAATTCCTATAGAATATTGGCAATTTGTTCAAATAAGTACCGGTATGTTCCTTTAACTTTTGACATACATATGGTATACTCGATGGGATGTATTATAAAAAAGCGGAATACATTTCCATTTGCCTGGATCAGGACCTAGTAAACTTTTTATCCAACTTAGCTTTAAAGTGAGCCGACCTTAGAGATAATATTTATCATTTTCAAACCTCCTAAATTATTATCTTAAACTATTATGTTTCTCTTTATTTTATCTTCCCTTTCCATAAGAAATTATATGCAATCTTACTTTGGGAATAATATCTTTTTGTACATCGATAATACTAGCATTATATATTAACTTTGAGATACAAGCGTCTTAATTATAGTTATTTTTCAAAAAAAAAGTTGAGTTACGTTTTTCCCATAATCTTAAATCTAAACATGCTATTTTTCTTTATAATGTAACTTTATCGTAGCCTACAAAAATGGCAAGAAATTTGACTGGTTCTTTAACAAAATTGATTTCGCAAGTATTGTTGAACTTATTCTTATTAGGACAAATCCATAGACCCGTGACGTTACAAAAACACTAAATTTCATTGAAAAAATGTTTAATACTCTGTTCATTGTCAGCGAAGATATACCGTATCGCCTGCTAACTGTGCAATTTTGCCTATTTCTATTTTTTTTTTAACTTTTCGATGGGAGTTCGATACCTTCACAAAGTGGATTGCTTCTAATGTTACAAGCCATTTTACCTCAAGAATAAACTGTAATGCTGAAAGTTGACATCCCTGACAGATTCCAGAATTCATGACAAAACTTGGAGACATCCAACCATTGTTAACGGTAAAGCTTTCTGTATTAGCGTACAAAACATTAACCCAATGTAAGAATTCTTCTCCAAAACCAAAGCATTCTATTGCTTTTAACATAAATATTCTATCTATTCATAGAAATGATAAAAATTAAGGCGACCTCTATGTTGTTATTATCGTCGTAATCAGATTCTCCTCCAAACCTACCATGAATATATCCTTTTTGGTCATTGTTGGCGATAGAATAAATTATGGATTGTACTCTAGAGGCAAGTACATAATATGGTCTGAAAATATAAAGGGTCTGATGTCTGTTTGTACTATTTCTCCATTATTGTGTAGAGCGTTTGAAACACACCAAAAATCTAATCTTTGGTAAGTGTTTTTTCTTCTCAATGTGGATTGTGTTTTACATTTATTACGAAGACTTCATGTCATATGCATTATATATAGACTTTTTATCAAAATGGGTTTCTTGTAAGAAAATCATCTGCTCTTTGTTCCTCAAACCATTTACTGAATTTTCTTATCTTAATACTATCTCTTAAACCTCTCTATATTTAAGGAAATTATATGTAGGCCTAAGGGATTTCTAGTTATATATATTTATAGATGTGGGGTAAAAAGTCAATATCTTAATTGACTTATTCTTCAATACACTTTAACTCACGGAGATTTCTTTTTCTTCTCCTCTGCGTTTTTTCCCACTATGAGTAATCTTTTTTCTTTTACTCGCCGCAAAAGCTTGTCTTGCAGCTGTTGCATTTTCTTCAACAATAGTATCTGTTTTCTCTGTAATTGCAACGTCTGTAATTGGTCATATACCTTTTAGATCAGAAATGGCTGATGTGTTCTGTGTGCTTAATTTCTTGCTCAGCTTTTTTTTTGTTGTCTTTTTCTTACGTTTTTTCAACTTTTTTTAAAATGCTTTTTTGATAGCTGTAATAGTTGGCGTTTTGTGATTGTGTTTTCCTCACAATTGACAGTTTATACCCTCTCAATCGCTTCTTTTATAATCTACTGAACCTTTTCATTTAACTCTAAGGAGTAGGGAGCATTTGCAGGATTTGCGGGTTTATTTAGTAAATCCTCAAGATTCCCGTTTATATCTCTTATTTTGTCAGGTGTTACCGCCGACATTTGGTCAACACACACATTCTCGTTGTCATTTCCTTCTGGTTTGCAGAATCTTGACAGACTGTCTTTGAAAGGCTCAACAAAAATTGCCCTGTCTTCCATTTAAAAAGCGGGATAACTTTCCGGAATTTATTGTGTTGTGTTTCTCCCACAATTTTGCAGCCAAGCTTTTCCTGTATGCTACATCAGTAATTTCTTCATTTCTAACGGATAACGGCATACCTTTAACTAATACACGAGTTGCATTTTCGCTGCTTATAAGGATGTGTATCATAAACATTCACATGTTTACCTCATTTTTAATCCTGATGTTATTAACTTTAACTCGTTCAGCATGATCGTTGATCTGAGATCCTCCTAGGCTTTCTGTGCTCCTACCAGAGAGTCACTGTTTATTATTTAATTTAAAGCAAAGTAAATATCTTTTTCTTTTATATTCCTCTTCTCTTTTTCGGACGTCATCGTCTTTGACAAAAACTGGTTTAACGTTTTGAGTGTTTTAATGTTCGGGAGTTGCCGCAACAAGCGGTTTAAACAATTGCTTTTGAAAATGTGTTTAGTGGAGCGTATCCTTTGCGGCAGACTATTAGGCCGTTGCTAGGCCTACTGTAAACAATGCTATAGGGTGAGCGCTTCAATCGGTTGATCACTAATGTTAAAACCACTGGCCTATGTCAAATCTGGTTTAAAAAACTATGATTTCAAGTATGAAAATCACAGGTTCGTAAAGAATTACGAAGTACTCACACTCAAATTTACGTATCTGGACTACTATATTTCAAGCCGCAATCTTAAAAAATCTAGTAAAATCGATGTTTGTTTTTTTTTATGTAACGTGTATCTATATTTAAGCTACTTTGCGTATTAACAATTAAAGTGCAACTTTTGGATTTCTCCAATCCTGTATCTGTGTTCTTTTTTTATATTAAAGCCCTATTCCCGGCAAAATTTCACTAAAAATGACTTTTTTTTAGAAAATATGCATTTGCATTACTCCAATTATTATAAATCATGGAAAAATATTGGCACGAATTTTAGTTTTACGCAAAAGAATAAAAAAAATGAGAAATACAGACTATTTCTCATAAAATATTACCATCGTTACTAGGCAAATTCAGAGGTTGTAGATCGCATCCACTGGAATACTCTCGCTTTTATGTATACTTTATACAGTCAATAAAGTGCGCCCTCTCTAATGAGATTACTTTTTGTACTTCGCATCCCGCACAATGCGGTCGTTCGGTTAGGCTGAGATATGTTTGTTTAAGTGTCAAAATCTCAGTCAGAATCAGTTTTTTAGCAAATTTGAAATAATTCCTATGAAATACTATATTTCACAAGCGTCAATACTAGCAACGGAAAATATCATGTCGGCCGTTTTTATGTGTGATAACAGAACCTAAAATCGAGGTAAGGCTAGGCCTATGTGTATTAGCCAGCAGCGTTGGATAGGCTAATGTTTTCGGCGCCTACGATATTTCTTCTCACGACCTATCGCAAAATCAACATGAAAAATTCATCCGCATTTATTTTTTGTGTGGAACACAAAAAAAAATCGAATTTCAGTCTTATTTTACATTTTTTTCATTCTTAGGAATGTCTAAATTCAGTTAAACTAGCAATTCCGTATTATATTTATAAATCTTTATAACATTATACAAAAATTAGATTTTTCTTAAAAACTGAAATTTTGCCGGGAATGGGGCTTTAATAATTACAATTATTGATTGCAATTTGTAAAAAAAATACTAGGTTTTATGGGCCTAATTAAAGCATTAATTGTAAAAATTAATTAATTAATTAATTAATTAAGTTAAGTTGACGATGTTTAACTATGGATGTAAAGTCTGAAATAAAGAATAATGAATGAATAAATTAAATAAATGCTAACACAGCTAAAATAATTAAAATGACGGCCGTTTTGGATTTAATTTTTGCAAATTATAAGTGAAATTTATTTTTTAAAATTATTATTGCCACTTATTTGAAAGAATAAATAATAATATATAAAGCGTCTTTTAATGTCATAAACTTACAATTATTGGCAACAAAAATTTTGAAATGGCGTTCATTTTGAAATTGCTGGAGTCTCTCCCCCCTCCATTGCACAAAAAATGTTGCACATACTTTTTATATTCAGTGATGTCTTTATTCACAGCATGCTCAATTTTCACAAAATATAGCAAATAAAAAGAAAAATAAAAAAATTAAATGCCACAAGCAGAAAAAAAAAAAACACATAATTTTATGATTCAAATCCAATGTACATTAATCAACCTGTAATTATAAACTACAAATCGCCATCTGGGTGAAGACTGACGTGACACACCGCATGTTAGCAAGGAATACGGGCGTCTTTCAGATCATATCATAGGTTTGTTTAAGCGGTACCCATTATAAGTCCTTAGTTTAATGTCACTGATTTCAATGATACATGTTACAAAAGATTAGTTTGTGCAATATCGTTAAAACTAAATCAGCGCATCATTACTCCGTTGAGCTTGCTTTCATATAGTACACTAGAAACAGATACAGTAGTGTATTTTATTTGCGACAATTGCTTCCCATACAACCGGCAATACATGTGTGTGGTGATGATCTAGAAAGTTCTTCAACTAGCTATCTACAGCGTAGAATTTAGAAATTGTTTAATTGTTTACCACGTTGCGATATCGATTGTAATATAGGGCTATGGCTGATACTGATAAAACACAAGTAAGTAATTAAATTTAAGCTGTATATGACCAAGAAGCTACCTTCCTAGAGCTAGACGAATGCTGCCTTCCCGAGGCCTATTCTTAGGCCTAGAAGTACAACACTTTCTCGTATATCTCATGCCTAACATAGCCGGTGTAGGACTGTTTCGGCCGCGAACAAATTCTGTGGCGATGTATGAAACAATTTGTAATTGTTTTGTATTTTTTTACTCATATCGATTCTTCATTAAATAATGATTAATAAATATCCTAACTAATACTGATAATTATAATATAATAAATACTGAATGTATATTGACTTACAAGTATTAAAAAGACCATGATGAGAAAGGGAGTAAGGCTAAGGCAAACAACATGTTTTATTATTATTACATTTAGGCCTACAGCAGGCTAGGCAGGACCTAGAGGCCTGTATATCAGACCTGCCAACTTACCCGATCCTGTCGGGTATTACCCAGTATTTAAACAAATCTCCAGTTCTCCCGATCAAATGTAATTTTCACCCGATTTCAAAGGCGCCCCCCCCCCAAATACTCCGATTTATGCATAATTTGATTGATTTGACCTTTATTATTCAATGTATTCGCCGCCTGCTTGCTTCGCGGTGCAATAAACAAGCGGCCATTTTCAATTCGAATGTCGCCTTTATAACGGCCAATGATTTGTAGTGACGTGACTTTTTTGGTATTCTAGCATCATCTTTTGGTTAATTCTAGAAACCTCCAGATTTTTGGGTAAATCTCCAGATTTTTTTAGGATTTTAAAAAAAATCTCCAGATTTTCATGACCCAAGGGTTGGCATGGCAGGTCTGGTATATGTTGTGCGCATTTTGTACCTTTTGCTCAATTTAAGTTGCTGACGTAATTTTGAAGTCGTTTTAAACTGTGGGCGCAGTATGCAAACTGCGCAAGGATTCTTTCAGAATTTGTGGTAAAATGTGACATTTATATTTATGAATTGATATTAACTTATTACAGTAAAACGTCCATTTTACGAATGTCGATTTTACGAATAGTCAATTTTATGAATGGTCTTTTCTCCTAATGAAGTAGTTTTAAACTGTGCGTGCAGTATGCAAACTGCGCAAGAATTCTTTCAGAATTTGTGGTAAAATTTGACATAATCAACCAATTATTACCGCAAAAAAGTCTGATTGTGCACGTTTTACAAAGTGATAATGTATGTTTTTTCTTTTTATTCTGGTATAATAATCATATATTAATGTAATCAACCTAACCAGTACAGTACAACGAACTACCAACGCAAATGTTGCCGGATTGAGCGCACATGTTTATGATGACGAACAGCTGTTTTGGGGTCAGCAAATAATTGACATCACGAATGCTAGATATGATTGTGAAATGCATGTAATTCGGCAATCTAACAACTACAAAGAACATGATAGAAAGGTCCATAAAACAGATGTTTGAATAAGAGTTAAAATAGTATTTTGTTAAGTGGAAGAATGCCAGCGATTAAAATAATTTTGTTTTTTTCGAAGGTAAATTCACATTACAACCAATGTAAGAAAAAAAAATAAGTTGTCCCTGTGTGGTTTTTTTTTTTTTTTTTAAATTAAAATATTCAATTTATGGGGCCTACACATAGTGAAATAATACTATAGTTTGTAAACATGATAATAATAATTTTAAACCAGGGGTAGCGATTAGGCCGTCATCACATTTTTATTTTATGTTCCAGAAAAAGAGAAAGGGTGATGGAAAGTTGGGCCTAATATATTTAATTCAATTAAATATTTTAATTTTCTGTATAGTAATTTGTATTGTATAAAAGTTACTTATTAAATAATAATTAATGTTCAGTAACAGGATTCTTTAGTAGAGGCCAATGCCAGGGTCTTGAAGCAGATTCTGCATAGGCCTAGAATCCTACTGTAGCTTAATGTAAACAAGGCCTAGACTACAGCGGGACTAGGTAGCTGGGCTAGGCCTGTGCTACTGTAGGCCTGTACTGAAGAGGCCTCCTGCGCCAACCTACCCCAAGCCTAGACCTACAATCATTCACACTAGCACTAGTTGGACCTGATCATCTGGAAATGGACCCAATCGTCCTGGGCCCGATCGTCTATCACACAGGGACGACTTATTTTTTTATTAAAGTGACGGTATTGTATTTTTGCTATGCAAGAAATCCCGGCTCCAAGGGCTGAAGTGGTTGTATTTAGCAACTACCCTGATTTGCACTGTGTGCAGTTGGAGAAGACGCTTATAGGCAACTCACTGCTATTTAAACGGTGTATTACCATTTCGACCGAAAACAAGTTCAGAAGCGACTCAAATTCATGAAGTGAAATGTATTATATGTTGAAGGACTATTGAATATCATATTTCTGATAATAATTAAAATATGTGGGAAGTAAAATAAAAAATAATGTATACAGTAGACTGTAATATTTTAACAGTTTATCAACAACTTGAAGGGGTATGTATCTGAGAAATTGTATAGACACTACAGTAAGTACGATATTGGGAATTAAAAGAGATAATAAAATAAAAAACTTCGTCTATGGCACAGGTAGACGAAGTGCGACCCGCTTGCCACAAAAATAATAAATACAATTATAATACAATGTCATTTAAACGCATCTTTAAGAATATTGGTGAGATACAATTTTTTTTCTACAGGCTGTCAAGTTGAAGGATGAGGGCAACAATGCGCAAAGAGAGGGTCGTTTCCAAGATGCAGTAGGCAACTACACCGATGCCATCAAGCTAGACCCATCCAATCATGTGCTGTACAGCAACCGGTCAGCTGCTTACGCTAACTTAAAACAATATGAAAAGGCGTTAGAAGATGCAGAGACAACTGTCAAACTAAAACCTGACTGGTCTAAGGTTGGTTATAAAGTTTTTATATGCTCCTGGAAAACTGAGTAGTATCAGCTTTGTGCCTTTTAATTGATTTCCAGCCCAATGCAGGCTACATTGCACTTCAAGTGTCCCGTGGGAAGGCATTTTTTCAATGTTTATCCATGATGGAAATGCAGACTACGGCAGTTAACTACTTTCAGATTATATTCCACAGGGAACAGTAAAGTTACATGATTGTTGACACATTTGAATGGAGCAATGTGTTCTAGGTGAAATAGTGCTTTTTACGAGAACTGTTGTTATTATTATGGATATTTATGAGTGCAATAAAAATCAAAAGGGGAGGACCAAAAGTTAGATGGCGAGATGTGCTGTTGCAATCAACAAGATTAGTAGGATGGACAAGATACACCACAGACAGAAACAGATGGCATGATTTGGGAGAGGCATTTGCCCAGCTGTGTAATGTAAACACATTGTACATGATGATATGATGATGAGTTCAATGGAAAGAATGTTTTCATAAATTGAATGGAACAGTTGATCTTTCAATGAATGAAAATATTCTTTATTGTTGTGGTTTTATGGAAGTGCAATTATTGGAAAGAATGTTTTCATCAGTTAAATGGAATGTGCGAATACAAAACATTCACTATTCCTTCTATAACACAACTGATGTAGATCCTTCTCATTTGATACTTTTTCAAAACATGTTAGCTGTACCTTTCTTCTGAATGGAACATTCCATCTCTTTTAAACCACTGAAAACATTATATTAGGTGGAGGTGTGCAATGGGACAAAACGAATGGAACAAACAATGCACAGATGGAACAAAATTTTTATGAGTGACGAAAAGGTGCAAATAACCAATGTCACATGAAACAAAATCCACCAATCAAATGACAAGGATCTATTTAGTTAGTGTTACTAATAAAACTTGATTAATACTATTATCTTCATTTTCATTTTACAATTTCAGGGTTACTCGAGGAAAGGTACAGCATTGCAGTTTTTAAAACGTTATGAAGATGCAAAGGCAGTTTATACAGAAGGACTGAAAATTGAACCCAATAGTGATGCTTTTAAAAAAGGCATTGAAGACTGTGAAACAGAACTATCAGGTAATAAAGCCAAAAAAAAAAAAAAAAAAAAAAAAAAAATGTTTGCCCTCCTCCTCTAAATATACAAAGTTTGCAATATTTATATGCATAATATATATAAAGAATAAAGAATATAGGAATTGTATGTTTCTAAATATCTAAGTTCTAAATATACAAAGTTTGCAATATTTATATGCATAATATATATTTATAGAATAAAGAATATAGGAATTGTATGTTTTTAAATATCTAAGTTCTAAATATACAAAGTTCACAATATTTATATGCATAATATATATTTATAGAATAAAGAATAGAGGAATCAATTACCATGTATGAACACTTTATATTTATATATATATACACACACACACACACACTTTTTAATACAAGTCCCCCATGGCTACCTTAAACAGGTGAAAGGAACTTATCCCAGCTTGTAGACATACTAACAAATTTCTCATAAAAACTTTGTATCTTAAGAAAACTTTGTACCATAGGCCTAATCACCCAACCAAACAATTTATGATCATTATAAAGTTTATCATTCATTGTCATTTAATCCTTTGTTAATTACTTAATGATCACAGTCTACCGCTGCCTTTGAACTACCGCATTTACTCTGCACATGCTCAGTCCTACGATTAATCAATCTGTGATCATTTTAGTCATTAGACAATTTT